CTGGTGATGTAGGGGGTCGTGGGAGGTCCCTGGATCTGGTGATGTAGGGGGTCGTGGGAGGTCCCTGTGCTCAGTGAGGTAAAGACAACCCCTTCAAAGCAGATCTGTTTGCCATGGGCAATCGCATGGTGTGTGGGCATGGCCACCCTGGGAGCACTCGTGCATTAAATGGTACATTGGCCTCACTTGTAACACTGATAGATTGACGAGATCGCAAGGAAAGTGAGCACAGGTACTCGACTACAATAAAAGTGCCTGACGGCCCCAGGGGCGTGGGGGTGGGAGCCTGAATCACTCCTAGGGGTAAAGTGAGACTTAAGCAGCAGGGGGGAGTGTTTCAACCTCTCATGAGGCCATAGCAGGAACCAGAATATTCTCAACTAATCAGGTGGCAGGCACTTTGCTGCTAGGATCACATGACAGTGTCCATCCAATAGAAGGGCCTGACTGCTGACTGGTTAACTGCTGGGCTCTAAGTACAAATTGCTATATTGTGGATGAGCAGATACTTTAAGTAAGTGTAAGTCCTCTTTTTTTACCAGTGAAGTGGGTGATTTCATATCATCTGACCCAGATTCTTTGATTCAAAGAGCCCATATTGTTGCAGTTACACATTTACAGCTGTAAATGTCCTTAATCTTCCCAGGAACCCGTCAGGAGGGCTGACCGTGAACATGAATCAGTCCACACTAGCAATTCACACTCGGTCAAAGGCTGCATGTAGCAGTAGCCTCAGTCTCAGTGTGAGTTTGAGAGACGCGAGAGGAGAGCATGTGACTGAAAATGCCAGACTGCTATTGGACAGTCATGCAGACCGGACAAGGAGACCGCGGAGGACATGTGAGAGAAGGCACTGCCACTGGGAAGATGGCAGTGGCCATGAGTGACCATCAGGTGCCATGTGATGCAGTAACTAGGTCTGGGTAGTTATGGAGGTCCCTTCGAGGGAAATATTTGGTAGATTGGTTGAGTGGAGAAGGTACTGAAGGTGTGTCCTGTAACAGTCACAATAGAGCAGGTTCTCACATGGGCTTCACCACAGGGCTCGTTTAGGATGTAGGATGGCCATGGATCGAGTCTGTGGAGGAGTCAGATGATGACGGATCCATTAAGAAACTAAAGTCATATTACTGTTTCTTACAGGCCTGAGGGAGCAAGACGACAGATATTGGTGAGTGTTTACTGAGCTGTGATCTTATTGGAATGGTAGGCGGTGCTCCTTTTGAAGCCACGCCCCCTAGCTGTGAAAGCTGTGAAGTACAGACATGCCTGCCCCCTCCGGTTTCTCCCACAGCAGATGTTCATCCATCCCCAGATGAACATGGTGCTGTGAGACGCCGACAGACTCCGGTCTAGCGGCTGCGGTTTGCCGGAGGCTGCTTGAGGAGGGGGGGGTGGGGGGCGTGTGAGCCGTCTCCCCCGTCCCGGGCTGACCGTCTGCCCGGTAACAGCCCGGTGTCTCTGGCTCCAGGGGGGGCCAGCTCTGCCCCGCTCGGCCTTTCCCTCCTCATGTTTATAGACCTCCCACTTTATAAAAAGCCGACACTCCTCAGGACGTTCCCTGCTGCCTCATGTCTGTCATGGAGTGTAACAGCACTGAAGGGGAACCGGGATGGGACTGTGACACTGCCCCCTTGTGCCGGGAGGCGCTGGCTCACAGTTAGGGTGCGCCGTGACTCAGACTGGCATTTGAAACGTGCGTAAACAGTATGTAAATGTGATTACTGCCCTGGCTGCCTGATCAGCCCACAGCTCATTAAGAACCTGGGAGCAGCATCACGTACTGCTGCTAGTAGGGGAGTGAGCCGGAGTCCACAGCGTGCTTTAATGACACTCTGAGGGCGTGCTACCTGTGTCCTGTCTGTAGGGGGCGCCACGTGGGGTCCACTCGAAGCATCCTGGCTGCTGTCCCTGTTTAGTCAGGTTCAGGAGAACGAGGGGCCGCTAGCAGGCCAGAGCATTTCAGCGCCTGTTTAAATGCGCTGCTCGCAAGAGTCAGCAGCAGCGCAGGGCCTGCGCTTCAGAGGAGATCCCAGGTAGCGTTTTACAGTCTGAATGTATAGGAGTTACATGCTGGAAGTGTAATACTGTGCTGCGGATAGAAAGTTAGCGTGGTCTGTTTGGTATCATGAAACTGTTCCACTGTCCTTTCCAGTTCATGGCAACCTTTTCTTTCCTCACTGGAGCAAATCCCCCCCCAAGTGTAGATCCAGTCCTAATTAAACGTTCCCCAGAGTCATGCTATGTGGAGCGTTTAATTAGATCAGCACTCAGTGGGCTGACTGCAGAGTGACGAAGTGGGGGGGGGGCAGATGGAGGATGAGACGAGGGGGGCGGTGACAGAGACGGGGATGCCCCTGTGCACGGCCGGCTGACATCTGCCCCCCCAGGGAAGACTGCCAGTGCTCCATTATCACACTTATACATAAATCATGTCTTCAACAAAAACATGTCATAAACCAATCAAGAAAGCCCTGTCCTTGTCTCAAAAAGAGGTTTCCTGCTTTTTCAAGATGGCTTCAGAGATGCCGTGTGCTTTCGTGACAGAGTAATCCACATCTGCATTACGGTTTAATTGATTGAACTGATCTTAATCAGTGACCGTGGTACAAGCGCTGAAGTTATTATGTGATCTGAATACCATCGTGATGGAGAGGCCGACTTCCGTAAACAGAAAGGGAATCAAAGTATAAAAAAAAGCAACAGGATGCAAATGGATGCGACGGGGAGCCGATAAGAGCGAAAGAAGAGAGAGTCTGATACAGAACACAAACGATACAGAACACAAACGATACAGAACACAAACGATACAGAGGAGAAACTGCCTTCCATAAAGTGATGACTTCATTATTTCTTAATATAAATGACAGAAGTGGTGGCTGGTTGGTTCCTTAGTCTCACACCGAAAAACTCCCAGATCAATGTACATGCACACAAGACCTTCGGGTGAATTTCTCAGCACTTCTCAGGATTCTGGGGGAGATGCAGGGGGGGGGGGGTTTCTCTGAAAACTATTTGGTTCCTGGAAACTGTGGACAGATAAATGACAATGAGAGAATTTGGTTGGTTTTCATGGGTTTCTGCTGTCTAAAGAAGGACTTTAGTCTGGAACCACAGGTATTAAAGGTATTAAAATGCAATAATCCAGGGCCCTGGATTTGTCAGGGAGGGGGGATGTGAGCGAGGAGGTGGTGGTGGTGGTGGGGCTTCTGTTGCAGTTTTTAATTAAAAAGCTCTCTGGGACAATGGAGCAGAACCTGCATCCTGAGACTGACACCAAACATGACCAACCCCGACCCATATGAGAATCTGTAACTGTCACAGATTAAATGGCTGCTTTTCTGGTCAGGCATCACGCTGTAGGAACAGTGCTGCTTTACTTGAAATCCAGATTTATAGAAAAAAAAACGCAGCACAGGTCATTACGAGCACACCTGGTCATGAACACTAGCTGGATAAGATCACCTTAATGGAGTTTGCATCATTTTGTGTATCTCTATGCTTCATATCTTGTGTCTGCAGTACGTCTCAGTGCTCAATGAACATCCGGGGATTTGTGCTCCGTTTGATGCACATTTGCTCAGACTCACGGCTAAATTGAGAACTATATCTAACGTGCGATAGAGATGATTACACCGGCGTATCCATCTATCATGCACTCAATAAATCATCTTGTTATTGCAATAATTACAGCATAGGTGAAAGACTTGTTTAATCTCTGCCCAGGGGCTATGATTTATGATTTATGTGATTTACCTAATTGTGTTATTAGCGGTGGTAATTGCAGCATTTCTCGTCGTATCCCGTCCGCAGGTCTGCACTACTGATCGCCTCCACCCCGGCAGAGAGACGAATGAGGCGGGAGTCGTCGTGAGGAGGCCTTGTGGCCTGACGTGGAATGACTCAGAGAAGGGACTGTGGTTGCCTCCCTGCTGCTGAGACTCTCACTGCGGCTGAGAAGATCTTCCTCGCCCCTCCCTGGCTTCCCTGTCACTTGTCACACTTGTCTAACCCCTCTTGCACTACGCGTTGAAGCCAGGACCCGACCCACGACCTCTTTTCTCCCCGTGATTGAAAAAGCTTTCGCACCCTTCTCCCGCCATCATGCGAACCTACTTCCATTCGCCCTCGGTCCTTCCTTTCTCCACGCCTACCCTCCTCCTGTCTGTCCTCCCCTGTCTCCTGCTCCTCTGCCTTCCTGTCTCGGTGCAGGGTGACTGCTGGCTCATCGAGGGGGACAAGGGCTATGTGTGGCTGGCCATCTGCAGCCAGAACCAGCCCCCTTACGAGACCATACCGCAGCACATTAACAACACGGTGCACGACCTGCGTCTGAACGAGAACAAGCTTAAGGCGGTCCTGTTCGCCTCGCTCAGCCGCTTCACCAACCTGACAGACCTGAACCTCACCAAGAACGAGATCGCCTACATCGAGGACGGGGCTTTCGCCGGGCAGGCCAACCTGCAGGTGCTGCAGCTGGGCTACAACAAGCTGACTAACCTGACGGAGGGCATGCTTCGTGGTCTGGGCCGCATGCAGTGCCTGTATCTGCAGCACAATCTCATCGAGGTCATCGCCTATAATGCTTTCTGGGAGTGCCCCAGCCTCAGCAGTCTGGACCTGTCCTCCAATAAGCTGGGCCGCTTGGATTCCACCACCTTCACCAGCCTGAGCCGGCTGATGGTGTGTGAGCTCGCTGGCAACCCTTTTCATTGTAGCTGTGACCTCTACAGCTTCCTCACCTGGCTAGAAGCTTTCAACAACGTCACGCACACCTACGACCGGCTGCAGTGTGAAACCCCTCGGGAGTTCTTCGGCTTCCCGCTGCTGAGTCCCATCGCGGGACACGGGCGTAATGCCCGCAGCATCCTGGCATCCATGTGCCGGGACGGCATATTCATCCCGGCGATGACGTCGCTCCCTCCCGACTCCGACTCCTCTGGCTTTGGACCTGACATGTCCGAACGACTCGGGCCCTTCCACCAGCCCACCCTCTCCTCCTCGACAGACCCCAGCTACAGCCCCAGCATCAAGCTGCAGCATGTCACCCTGACCACAGCCTCCCTGCTGGTGCAGATCCCCAAGCCCTACAGCAAGATGTACATCCTGGTGCAGTACAATGACAGCTTTGTGTCTGACGTCATGAACCTTAAGAACAAAAAGGAGATCATCACCCTGAACAAACTCAAGGCCCACACTAACTACACTTTCTGCGTGGCTTCCATCCGCAACTCACAGCGGTACAACCACACATGCCTCTACTTTGCGACCCGCTCGGTGAACGCAGACAACATTCGACCCAATCCCTCCACTACCACTCACTACATCATGACCATCCTCGGCTGTCTCTTTGGGATGGTCCTTGTTTTGGGCCTCGTCTATTACTGCCTGCGAAGGAGACGCATACAGGAGGAGAAGCACAACTCCATCTGTGTCAAGAAAACCATTCTAGAAATGCGGTATGGCCCTGAGATAGCCGCTGCAGCTAACGATCCCAGTGCCATACAGAAGCTCCATGAGCACCACCAGCACCACCACGGCAAACTTCCACCCTCTGCCTCCTCCAGCACTGGGATGCTCCATGGATCCTCTGCCACAAGCTCATCCCGGCTCTCCTCCATCCCCCAGGTGGAGAAGATGGCCTCGGCTTTCTCAGAAGCCCTGTCAGCGACCAAAGGGAACTACATGGATGTGAGGACCTCCTTGTCCATTGATGGTGGACTGGGTATCCTGGGGGATGATGGGCAGCAGGATGATGATCTGTCAGACATTTGTGATGTCTCGGATGATGATGGCCGAGGTTCCGCATCAGAAATCTCCACTATTGCTATGGAGGTGGACAAAGTCAATCAGATCATCAACAACTGCATCGATGCTCTCAAGCTGGACTCTGCAGCTGTCGCGTCCGCAGCCGCTGTGGCCGCCTCTGCGGTAACAAGCCCCACCTCCCCACCACCAAGCTGCGCCTCCCCTCTTCCCAGGAGCCACATACCCCTGTCCTCCAGCCTCCTTGAAACTTGCCAGATCATGGCATCCCCCAAAATACCCCCACCACCCCCTCTCCCCTTTGTCCTGCCTCACTCAGAGCGGCCGGGGATCAGCGGCGGTGGATTCCTGTCCCCTCCTTATCGCCCTCCTCCACCTGCCACGGCGGTCCGGCCCTTGCAGAGGCACCTGAGCGCCGATGCAGCTGGGGTGGTGTTGGGCCCCATGAAGAAGCAGTGCAGCATCTCCTCCAGTGGCTCCATCAAGAGCTCTCGCGTCTTTAGTCTGGATGTTCCTGAACCCCGGAGCCCAGACATGTGCCACTATCCCGAGAAAGGCAGCCCAGTGGGCTGTGGGGAGCCCCTGGATAGGCTGCCCCTAATGGGCTCTGGGGTGGGTATGTGTGGGGAAGGTGGCCTGAACCCATGCCTGCAAATGCACATGGAGGAGCATCCGGACTACCAGTGCGCAGAACACCGTCACTCTGTCCCAGCCCTTTACTATGAGGGCTCCACCAATTCTCCCACCCAGATAGCCTCTTTTCTCAACCCACTCACCCGCACCAAGAGGGACGCTGCCTCCTATTCCCAGCTCTCTCCTCACCACCACAACTTCTCGGGCTACTCCTCGAGCCCAGAGTACTCCACCGAGAATACCCTCAGGATCTGGGAGCGCTTCCGTCCCTACAAGAAGAGTCTTCAGGAGGAGGCCTGCTATGTGACAGCGGGGAACGCCCTGCGAAAGAAGGTACAGTTCGCCAAGGGTGAGGATTTGCATGACATCCTTGACTACTGGAAGGGTGTTTCGGCTCAGCAGAAGCTGTAAGGGGTAGGGAGCCGTGGAAGGGAATCTCCTTAGGAAACTGACTCTTCCATTGGCTGAGACTTCGATCCCCTGCAGTCCTTGACCATTCACACGTGGGCGATGGCATTAAGGGCATTACACTGATCAAAGTCCACTTCCAACGCCATCATACAAGCTTTTTTTGTTCACCGTCCAACACAAAATCATATAGCAGCTAAAACTGAGGTATTACGTCACACGACAGGGCAAGAGTACACATCAGATTCGTAAATGCTTTCCTTAAGCTTCACTGCCAGAACATTTGTTTGGGATTGGAAGGAGAGCCATTCACTAAATCAGAACAGTCATCTGTGTGTTACTGTGCAAATATTTTGGAACGTCACAAGAGCCGTAATCCCAGGCACCTAAGTTTACAAGAGTTGTGCTTCAGTCCAACAAATCTACTTGGCACTGTGTTCATTCTTAATAGGCACATTGCCTAAAGAACTACTGTGGTTGTACATTCCATTTTCAGAGGCAAAACCACAGAGTTCAGAGCAGAAGCTGATGCCAAAATACAGGACAGGGATGTCCAGTAATGAGAGGAACAGCCTTTCAGTTAGACCTGCGTCTTTGTCTGCTTCCTGTCCATGGACCAGCCAATAAAGACAAATGAAAGAAAGGCCATTGAAAGAACCTTTTCACTGAGACACATACATTATTCATAGTGTAATATTGTCTGCTGCAAAATCAAAAGCTTCCCATCGTGTACCTGTACTACAATTGCAATGATTTACATTAGATGCAATTTGAAATCATTCTGCATTTAATGGACTGTCCTCATCCCGCTTGTGGGCAGTGCATGCAGGACTGGCCTCTAGACTGTGCTGTTTGTAAGTGGGTCTGGGCTGAGAGTGCGCCACTGGCTCATAGCAACATCCCAAAGCTATAGGATACAGATGGTCAAGTCTCCCCGGCCAATGAGAGGACAGCCAGTTAGCCGCTAAGTAGCCTTGTGGTGTTTTAAGAAAGGTAGTAGCTTCACAGAACTCTAAGGCCATGTTCTTGTTTATTATGAGCAAGGACGTCATCCATGTTAGCGCGGATGCTGTATGAATTGTGTCCTTTAGAGCAGCACCGAGCCCTTTGATCAGATTATATTAAAATTTGTCAGATGTGGCATCAAGTGCCCCACTAAGACGATGCAATAAATTGCTGTCACATCAAACTTAGCTTGGGGAAGGACAGCTCCACATCATCATTGCGCTCTAATGAGTTGCTGCTTTCCCCGTGAGCTCTGGGGTTGTCCCCTGATCCTGACGCCAGTAAAACTCGCCTTGTCTTCTGTCTCGTGGCCCTGGACGCCCCCAGATGCGTTCATAGACAGGGCAGCCGTGTCGCTAATGACGGAGAACTGCCTGGCCAGGCAGGTCAACGTAAAAAAGCCCCAGACACCGCTATCTGTTACACACACTGCACTTCTTTAGGAGTGGGAGAACATGCATTCCTCACAGTTTTCTGTCATGTTGGGCCGTTTGCGTCAAATTCACCCTCTAGCATTTCGCCTACAATCTCAAAATGCACCCATAGATACCAGCCATACTGCGCACACAGTTTATCTCACAGGTATGTTTGCCCTTAAGAGGTGCCACCTACTGGGCTAATCCTGCAAGAAGGACCGGCCCGTCAGGTCAGTCTAGACAGTATGCTCGCATATTTCACAGTGAAATTTCATCAGCTGATATTCGGAAGACGTGTCTGGACTGGAGCCGTGCCAGAATTCAGTCCTTAGCAGAAGTAATACATTTTACAAGAGGCTTTCTTTTGGAAGACGTTCTTGTATAAGTAGAGGGGAGCATGGAGTGTTCAGAAATTTGACATATTTCGCAGTTATGTTTCCTGGAGACTTTGAAGGCCCTGACAGTCTTGGTCCAGCAGGAGTATTGATTAGTTAACTCAGAGTTTTTAAGTTTCACAGGCTCTCTTTGGCCTATTAGCCCAACATCCAGTCCTTTCATGAATCACCAGGACAAAGCAGGATTCACTTCAGTGACATTCACACTGCAGGACGGCTGCTGCAGTGTTATACCCTGTAGACTTATGCACACTGGATGAGCACTGTGTCTTTCAGAAGAAATCAAACTTACAAAGAAGAGGATCAGTTTGCCTTTTCAATCTCTGACGGTGGGACTGCAACCGGAGGGGTACTGTGACTCACATGAACCCAACATAAGTAAAACGCAACACGCACGCATGCACACACACGCACACACACACACACACCAGTATACTTAATAAAAGGACTGCAAACAATCCTATAAAAAGTGAGTCCTCTCATGAAAATAATGACTACACAAAAGAGAAGATAAATTATTTCTGTTAGTAACTAAATAAGTGTGTGTCAGACCTCTTCTCTGTTACCTCCTTTAGTACATTTCACATTTTAATTAATGGTAACAGAATTTAACTGTTTTTATTTTTTTATTTTATTTGGCAGAGAGACAAGCATGGACGAAGTTCAAAACCAATTGCTTCTGGGTTCTCGTTGGTATTCTGAGGGTTTAACCGAACCTGAGGTCCAAGGACAGCCCCTCCCCAAAGGGGTACCCAGGATCTCTGGCATTTCAGGGAGGGAAGCTTACTGTGGTTGTTCTTTCAGTCAGGCAATGTGGCAGATCTGCTTTGTGATGTGCAAACATGTTAGCTTCAGAACTGCTCTAGCCAGGCTTTCTGCTGGTGGGCGGAGCTAAGTTGGCTTCAGCCTATATTTGGTCAAGTGAAAGATACAACTAGATTGGATTGGATAAACTAGACTGGATTGTGTAACAGTGTGAAGTATAAATGCTAACAGCTTTTCTGTTCCTTAATTTCTTTTGAAATATTAATTCTGTATTTATTGATGGGATTTTGTTTCTTGTGCAAATTGTATTTCAATCTACTTGTTTTGTAGACGCAGTAAGGAATTTATCTCATCTGCTGTAATGGACTGTGTTGGTTTGCATGCACGCGGTGTGTAAAGGTGCATATCAGGGGTGGTTCAGCTTGTATTCATGGACGGTTCCTCAGGGATTCGGGAGGCGTGTGTGCAGGTAAGACATCCCCCAGGTAGAGCCTGGTAAAGATGTGTCGCCTCTGCATGTTCATGGTAGATTTCTGTCCTCTGGCATTTCTGCCACTCTCCATGCCCTTTAACCTCTGTCACATGTGGTCAGACTCGCCAAGGTCCTAACGATACGATTGGGAACCAAACAAAGCAACAAGGATTAATAGCCAACCTCTCATGCCCAGCAAATGGCCAGCAAAGCACATTAAAAAGGAAAGTGTGTCAGTGACACTGCATTAACACCCCCTGGCATACCAGAAATATGCTATTCCTAATAAAGTCAGACTCAAGTCTCACTGGAAGTACCAACAATGTAGGTAACTTTCCTCATCGTCTTCTTCAGCATAAAAGCCTAATTTTAACGCTGGATTGATATTTCAGATACTGATGCCTGCATTTCCCAGGGGGCTCTGATTATTTCCTGTGGGTGCTTCTTAAATTGTCGTTGCAAGAGCAAATTCTGATGCTGGAAAAAATTGCCTTCTTGGTGTCACTCTACCATTCAGGAAATCAAAGGATCATGTTAAAAGGAGGGTGACCGCATTGTCCATCCATAGTTTGTTGAGTCTGTTCTCCTTTTATGTGTTGTAAGTTCAGCTCATGCATTTGTGCTCCTAGGCTTAATATGAAAAGACCAACTGGATCTTTTTGACCTCTGAGAAAATGCCATAATTAGGAAGAAGGCTTTTAACCGTAAGGTCTCTGCACTTTTTTACCACTGAGCAATGGCTCTCTCTTTGTAAAGATTCAGTAACGTTGATACATGGATGTTTAAGCAGGGTTGTAGAAAAGTGAGGATGGACAATTAATAGAGGGGAAATATGACAAGGAACAGGAATAGCATGAAATTGGCAGGTGGTTTGGTTTGATGTGAGAGCATTTGAAGTTTCGGAGTTGAGGGGGAGGCAGAGAAGAGTGAAGAGACAGAAGGAGACGTTTAAAACGTTTTATTAAGATAATAAAATACTCCTGAAAACAGTATGAGCTTTTAGCTACTCTGTTATTCTCTGTGGCTTTGAAACTGGACTTCATATGGCAGAGGGTTTTAACTCAAAGGTGAGATCTAGCTCTGATCTCCTGGCCGTTTTAAGGACATGCTTCTTTGGTCAGAATAGGGGTCCTGAGTCCATCTGTCTGTGTGAGTACAGGCACCCTAAGGTACACTAGCTAAACTATGTAGTATAATATTTTAAATACCCCTATACTGTGTTCTCTGCAATAACATCTAATGGCTGATGACACATAGATAGATAGATAGATAGATAGATAGATAGACAGACAGACAGACAGACAGACAGACGGACAGACTATCTATCTATCTAGACCCCAAGGGGAAATTCAGATAAATAGGTGATAGACGGAAGCTTTACGTTCCCAGATCAAGAATAGAAATGCATCTAAGCTATAAATGACCACAGAAACATGCCTTTATAAATCAATATCTATAAAAAAATTAATAATGTTTATCATTGTCAGATAGAGGCATTGAATCCATTTACACATCGAATCCCTGGACTTCGCAAGCGAAGTGGTCGAGCGGCCGTACCGGACGAAGGCACATGTCGATTGCTTTTCATGCGTTTTGGTTTTCGAGAGGCTCTAGTGGCATCACCCTGACCCAATCGGTGCAGATTTTCAAGAGCATGTGACCTGAGAGAGGGAGAAAGATCCCAGAATGATTAGAAATGAGTCCCTGTTTACAGAGGCATTGCTGATAGTGAGGAAGGCGAGGGAGCAGCACTGGCACTCTGAAGTGTGCCTTTATGCTAAAATTAATAATAAGTACACTAGCCGTCTTTTGGCAGGATCAGGGGCGAAATTATGTGAACGTGTGGGAGTTTCTGGGGGAGTTTTCATACTGTGGCTTTTATTGTCTTATTCCTTTATGTGTACGTGCTAGTTAATTTATAAAATACCCACAATGCAGAGGTTTACACTGGAGAGCCTGTCCTTGATTACAGTGGTAAACCACCCCTCTATGTACTTAACATGTCACTGTCTGTTCTGGAAGGTTCTAGGACTGGGCTCTGATGGTCAGTCATCAGGAGAACATTGAGGAACAAGTGCCAAAGTGTGCTGCAGGCATGTGTTGCCAACGGTAGATTTTTATCTGGAAAAAGTGTTTTATTTACATTTTGTTTGGTTCATTTTTTTGTCTTTCCCCATACAATTTTTGAAATGTTTGATTTCTTATTACAAAGACTTGGAAAATGAAATATCTGTGAATTTTGTACACTTAAAAGAACATCTGACTTTTTTACAGAGCTTGATCTGTGTGCTGTTGTTCTGGTTTTTCTTTGTGGGGGGGTTACATCAGGGGAAGCCAGCTGTGGCTTTTGGATCGGGGGGTATACAACGATCTGTATTAAAATTAAATGTTAAATGAAAAACCGACCTTATATTTGCATGATTTACTGTATTTTTCAAGACAAAAAAAAATTATATTGCTGTGTATCATGGGTGGATGTCTGTCAAAAGCTAAACAATAGGACTGAAATATTTGTCATATCCTTGTTTAAGATTTAGGTTTAGGATTTCGTTTTCGTTCTACGCTCTGCACCCATCTGTTCCTCATTGTTTCTGGTCTGAGTTCTGTGTTTCGTACGTCTCTGTTGTAATCTTTGATAGAATTCTTACTGAGTATAAGAGCACGTGATACAACGGAGCTAAAGGTCTAGGGAATGCCATGGGAAAAGCGTAGAGCGTATTGTTGGCCAATTCTCCTGTCTGCCATCTTGGATGAGCCCCCTTAAATTTACCTAGAGTCGCCATGCGTCTTCACGGGAAGCTGGTAAATACCGTACGTCATAGTATACGAGGGCACTTTAAAATTTGGACACGGCAGAGTAAGAGTGCTCTCTTAAAGAGCTCTGCTAGGATATACTGGCATGTATTTTCATATTGCAATGTCAGTTAATAAATATCAAGTAATATCATATAATCAACCAGATTAATGGCAACTCTACCAGTAAGAAGTGTTTGGGCTGGGCCTTCTGTAGCTGGTTATTCTCCTGGCCGATGACATAACGACTGCAGCAGCTTGTAGGAGCTTCTCTTCAGACACCAAGATGCTATCGCTGGGCTGTGGATGCCTTTGCCTCTTTAGCAGCCGCTGTTGTGGAAGAACAGATGACTTTTAATGTTGAACTGAGAAAATTGGAACAGGCAATCAGTAATGCAGTATAGTTAAGGGATAAATTGTGTTGTACTTTAAAAATAACCAGAACAGACTAATTTGGGTAACATTAATAATTTCCAGGGATCTGTAATCTTTCGCCAAGTTCCTGGCATGTAAAATTCCCTTTAATTGTATACGGCTTAAATACTATTTAGGAACAGTGTTGTACGTTTCCAGATAAATGTGCTCCCGATGAAAACATTACTCATCTCTTTCTGAACCAATAAACAGTCGGGACAGAGCAGTGATTGGCGGCCTTAAACCCCAATTAGATCAGGACCCCACCAAATGTGGCTATACATTTGTACTCTGTTGGACAGATAAGCTGACGCCCACTGATCCAGTTACACAGACCCAGATGTTTAGCAAGGGAACCACTTAATCTGCAGGTTTTTGTGCCGCGTCGGCATCAGGCTGTCCAGGACGCGCTGGGGAGCCGGGTACCCAGTGGATGTTCCTCCTGTGATATACGGCACCTGGGAATCCTGTTCCTTATGTAACTGATGAGCGTTGCTGGGGGGCGCATTTCTGCCACAGGTGACTGTCCCAGGTTGTTTTCCCGGCACACTGTCCTTTCTGATATGTAGGAGGCCACACGTCCGCCCTCATCTTACTGTCGCTTATCCCCGAGAAGAGAGAGTATATTATACACTCATGTACATAGCTGAAAATCTGTATCATGTGCTTCTGTTGCTCAGGCTTCTCATTGGTCGAAAATCCCAGTGGGGCCTTTATCACACCGTAAGTATATCTGTGTTACACGGGTGTTCAAAATTTTGTAATTGTTATGACATTTAATGTGCTTTTCTTAATTTCTTTGTGGCAAAGTTTTTCCATGGCAACACTAAGACCTTTAACCCGATGAAATGGATGAACAGACACGACTAGATGAAAGGCTTGCGTGATCTTTTTATAGATCATCTATAACATCGTGTCTTTTGCTTTAACATATTCTCTTAGTTATGAATATTAAAAATCTGTTGTAAAAACATAATAAGTCACTAAATTTGGTTGCTTGCTATATTCAGCTTTTTTATAAAGACATTTAACTTTCTCCTCCCGATTTCTGTACAAAAAATCTATTTCTATATTTGCAATAAATTTGTAATGAAAAATCAGCCTTGTCCCTGCCTTTCTTTGTCACTGAGAGATATGACCGTGGTTTTGGGGGTTACATACAGTATATATGTATATGTTTAGTGCTAAAAGTGATATCTGTCAGGTGCAGATGTGAATGTTTGCGGGGGTTGGATAGTAGAGCCATAAGCTGCCACGCAGACAAGCTGCACAGGCCATTAACTTAAATCAAGCTTTCTTTAACAAACAGCATTAAAGGAGCTGCTTGTTCCTTATTGGTCAGTAACTAGGGGATTCCCATGCACACAAACAAGGCCTGCCAGAAACACTCAGTGCTATGGACTTCCCCAAGACCAGGGGGGCTGAGGACTGTCGATGACCTGCAAACACACCAATAATAGCGTAGGGTCACATGTGCCAGTCAGCATCCCCACCCACATGGCCCCCCAGTGGGGGCTCTGGAACCCAGTCATGGACACAATGTGTCTTTGATACTACCCAGGATGCACCGGGTCTGCTCACCCCACCTGGCAGTCAGTTACACTGGTGGAGAGTATTGATTTCCCTGTGAGGTGAGTCCGCAGGCACGTCCCTGCTGTCCCCGGCCACCCCAGCCTCGTGACACACAGACACACGGACCAATCGATTGGTGACATTAAATTGAGGCGGAGGCTGGTTCAATCCTACGAGCTGATGGTTCTGCACTCCAAGAGACATCAGAGCTCAGGTCCAGCCGCATGCAGTCCCGCGGGCTGACGGTGGCGCGCTCTGTCGCATGCCAGCACGCCTCCCGCCTCCAAGCAAAGATTGTCTTCTAATTGAGGTTTGGCTCAGGGGGGGGAAACCCGAGTAGCCAGAGAAAGCACGACAGAACACAGGCAAACACGTGAGCGCACACTGCAGGCGAGCGGGGGTGGCATTCGAACCCCCAACCCTGGAGGTGTGAGTGTTACCCACTGTGCCAGCATGCCACCTTACTCTGAATTTAAATCAGATAAAAAAAAGTGACAGAATGCCTTAGGGTACATCCACTGTATCTATTTTCGTAAGAATAATGTAAAAAAATATTATTTTAGACTAATTTCCCATTTAGGATCTTATAAAAAGTTCTTCTTTTTGCATTTTTCCTGCACAGTTTTACCTGTAAAGGGTGTGATACTGGAGATTAGCAGTAGACCCCCTAAAGACATTTCCTTTATTGCCCCTTAATGACCTGAATAGATCACTGATAGAGCTGTTCATCACCGGTGAATCCAGCAGCACAGACCACAGCGTGTGGGCCATGCTGTACTCTGCTTCAGAACACCGACTGAACGTCGCATTCCAGACCTCCGCTCCTTCACACCATCGCCGTTGTTTCCTGTGTGGGCTGCACAGCCGAGCTCCCGTGCAGACACATGCATGCTCACCGCCGCCCACACACATGCACGGCGAGTGGGCCGTAAGTATCAACGTGCACCGCGGCCCAGCCGCGCTGGTGGCGCCCTCATCCTACCCCGGGGGGGGGGGGCTGATCCTCCGCGGCTCTCTGCAGGCTCCATGTGAGAGATGGGGGGACGGGGGGGGGTCACCAACCTGAAAGTCATTAGGGCAAAAGGAGTTAGTGGTGCATAAATGTAGTGGATGTGTCAGGCACCTCTGAGAGACGCCTCAGGGAAGGACCCCTCCAAGCGACTGCTACCTCCATCCTTTGGTGAGTGGTGTCTGAGCACTAGGGGGGAAGTGACAAGTACCCCTCATTATTTAAATTGTCTTCATTTATCCCCCCCAAAAATAAATCAATGCATTAAAATGATTGGATCCCTTTTAATATCAAATTCTCTCCTACGTCTGAATGTTTCTTTGTTTTGAGACATTAAAAAGATGCACCCCCACCCCAATGACCATTTGATACTCTCTTCCACAGAGGTAGTTAAGGGTGCGGATCAGCCTGTTTCCGTCCCCTCATCCCCAGTCCCCTTGTCCCTAGATCCCTCGTCCCCAATCCCCTCGTCCCCAATCCCCTGATCCCCACCTTCCCTTCTGTTTGTCCCTCTCGCCTCTTGGGTGGCCCAGTGACTCCTCAGCTGTCACCTCCCCCCCACCCCCCGCAAATACACCCCCCCATCACACACGGTGTTGCCTGTGACCCACCCGGCCCCTTTTCCTTCTGGATGTTTCCAAATAGCACCTTGCTAAGTAAGTGGTGCCGCGGGCCGGGGGGCCCGTTGGCTGTTACTGGGTCTCGCTGGGTTGCTGGCCAAATCTGCCCGTCTCACCTTTACTTACATCACTACAAGTTTATTTGCACATTTATATTTCTACTTTCATTTCTATTTTTATTCTCTTTATTGTCTTTTTTTTCTTGATTTTATGCTTAATTAAAAACCTGATGCCACCATCCACATCAAATAAAACTCCTCTTACTCTTCGTTCTTGGTGATTCTGTTTCAGATTCGGACTCTGACTTTGATTCTGACTTTGACTCTCATAAATTCTGACTTTGACTCTCATTCTGTTTCAGATTCTGACTCTGATTCTGACTTTGACTCTCATTCTGTTTCAGATTCTGACTCTGATTCTGACTCTTACTCTGATACCCACTGCCAGCCTGTACGTCTTCAGGCTTTGATCCTGCTTGCTCCCCCTCGCTCTGTGCCCAGAAGAGGTGAGTGACTCATCCCGGGGCCTCTACCAGCTCCCCTGCCCCCACCCCCAAGTCCTCACTCCCGAAGTATTTGCTGTCGTCGGGGTTTAACGTCACGTTTGAAAACCCGTAATCAGTCCAGGGGACGGACGCCTTGGCCTCATGACACCTCCCTGCTGCTTTTCCCTTTCAATCACTGTCACTCTCCTTCTTATGCCCATCACTGCTTACATGCCACAGACTGTATATACTTATATATGGTTTGTCTCACTGTCTTCATGTGCTATTTCCCCCATGACTCTGTACTGGATAAGCGGTTGGATATTGGATGGATGGATGGTCTGTTTCCACGTCAGTGCAGCCCCAGCAAACAACCTGAAACCCCAGATAGAATGCCATCTTTGCCCCAGTCTTGTTGCCATGCCAACACGCCCATCCTGGGGGTCTGCTGATCCCTCCTGGAGGGAATCCTTGCCCAGTGAGATCAGAGATGTTAGACACATGTTGTCCTGACAAAGGTTACGGGTTGGATTATCCTGGGGTGGCGGCGACCTGAACGGGGGTAATATCAGCAATTACAGCATCTTCTAAACTCAGGAACAGAAACTGCCTGTATAGCCAAAGCTGGAAGGTACCATGTGCGAGGTGGGGGTGAGCAGGACACATGCTCGTCTCGGGGAGGCAGGTCTGTCTCCTGGGCTTTTCGGCATTGGTTAGAACCTGCCCCTCATTCAGGTTCTGGTCACCTTCAGTAACTTAGGGTCATGACGTAGACGCTGGCCCCACGTAGCTCGCTTACTTTTACCCCTGACACACCCATCCAGGTTCAATCTTGCGTTTCCATTTCCCCAATCTCCATGTACTACATGAACCAATATGGCTGCCACAGTTACTGAGAGAGTCAACGATGACCTGCAGCTGCAGAAAACAGTGTCCTTCTGATATGTTCTCCATGAGCAGTGTCGCTCAGCCTGCTCTCGTTGTTGACTCCCCCTTGTTGAATGAAGAATGGTCTCACCCACTCTCTCTGTGGTCAGCCAGGAGTAGCTCTGATGCTCTCCCTTGCAGCAGGTAGACTTTGTCAGGAAGCTATTTAGCTTTGGATCTCCAAGGCTGACACCCCCCATTTTCTTTCCACAGGGAGCAATGCATGCGGGAGTATAACAGTACTTTTTTTTTAATGACCGCTCGGAATTACTCAATGACAATTTTGCCCTCATCAAAAAAATGGCTCCCGCGGTTTGCTTTGCTGACATTCATTTTCGCCTCTTCACTGGATCCTCTCTCAGCGAGAAAAAAAAAAGCTCATAAATCACAGAGGGCACAAACAGATGCAAATCATTTCATATCAATGCTAAGTGGAAACTGGGAGAGCGAGTCACGGGCCTCGGCGGGAGCCGTAATATTCATCACCCTTAGAAACACAACAGACCGGGAAAAGCTCCAGCAATCTGCCCACACTGCACCATCCATTCATGCTCACTGCGCCACTGCGGACGCACTAGAGAAGCATCACAGGGCCATCTCATCTGCATTGTTACAGCAGCGAAGCTACCGTGCATAGGATGCAAAGTCTGGTGTCGTGGCCTTGTCATTGTAATTGCCATGCAGTTCAATGTTTTAATTAAATAAGCTGGACCTTTAGTCTACTGAGGTCATTAAGGGGTTGATCGATTTGTTTTATGACTGCCCCCTCAACCGCTGTCATTTCTTTGACCCAAAGGAGGATGGGGGGGGGGGGTTGTAAACTTACATAGAAAAGTGTCTGGGTGGTAATTAAATCCTACATGCTGGACCCAGTGAGTGTATCGCAACTAGCAACTGCAGGCAGGGATTACACAACATTCTAAAGGGGGGGTGGGACAGTGGCTCAGTACTGTCACTTTACACTTCCAGGCCTCGGGGTTCAAATCCCACCTCTTCCGTGGGGGGGCATGTATATGTTACATTGTGGGGACCAAACAATGTGTTGTTTTGATGTTGTGCGACCCATTTTTTCAGTCCTCACAAAGCGAAACTCAATTCATAAAAATCTATGACAGCAATCAAAAAACTAAAAATGCCAAAAGTCTCGTATTTAGTTTGGTTACTTATGGTTAAGGTGAGGGCTGAGTAGGGGTTAAGGTTGTCATGTTGGGATTAGAGTTTTCCCCATAGCCACTTTGTGTGTGTGTGTGTGTGTGTGTGTGTGTGTGTGTGTGGCTTTCCTCTGGGTACTCCAGTTTCCTTCTGCAGTCCAAAGACACGCAGTTAGGCCAGGCAGCATGTGTAAATCGCCTGTAGCTGTGATTATGCTTCTACGCAGCCTTGCGATGGACTGCCAATCTCTCAGTGGTGCTCGGCGCCCTGCACAGCCTGGGATACCAGGTTAGAAGATAG